TAGCTCTGACAGGAACAGGAAGTAGCTCTGACAGGAACAGGAAGTAGCTCTGACAGGAACAGGAAGTAGCTCTGACAGGAACAGGAAGTAGCTCTGACAGGAACAGGAAGGAGCTCTGACAGGAACAGGAAGTAGCTTTGACAGGAACAGGAAGTAGCTCTGATGGGAACAGGAAGTAGCTCTGACGGGAACAGGAAGTAGCTCTGACGGGAAGAGGAAGCAGCTATGACAGGAACAGGAAGCAGCTCTGAAGGGAAAAGGAAGAAGCTCTGACGGGAACAGGAAGTAGCTCTGACGGGAAGAGGAAGCAGCTATGACAGGAACAGGAAGCAGCTCTGAAGGGAAAAGGAAGAAGCTCCGACGGGAACAGGAAGTAGCTCTGACGGGAACAGGAAGCAGCTCTGATGGGAACAGGAATTAGCTCTGACGGGAACAGGAAAGAGCTCTGATGGGAACAGGAAGGAGCTCTGACAGGAACAGGAAAGAGCTCTGACGGGAACAGGAAGTAGCTCTGACGGGAACAGGAAGTAGCTCTGATGGGAACAGGAAGGAGCTCTGCATGAATAGGAAGTAGCTCTGACAGGAGCAGGACGTAGCTCTGATGGGAACAGGAAAGAGCTCTGACAGGAACAGGAAACAGCTCTGACAGGAACAGGAAACAGCTCTGATGGGAACAGGAAACAGCTATGACAGGAACAGGAAACAGCTCTGATGGGAACAGGAAACAGCTATGACAGGAACAGGAAGCAGCTCTGACGGGAAAAGGAAGAAGCTCAGATTTTTTTTTTTTTTTTTTTTTTTGAACACAATAACATTCACACAAAAACAATGACATTCTCATAAAAACAATCATTTACATCGGTCCTCAGAACACATCTCCTTCAATATTACAAACAATACACTTTCTTTAATATTTTACAAAGCACACACACAAAAAAAAAACAAAACTAAAAACAAAACAAAATAAATAAAAACAATTCAAGGGGCCACCAACCTAAATTTCTTCATTAGTTCGTATAATTTTTCAGTTTTTGCATTTTGTATTTTACTTAGACACCTTTCAAA